AGTATACATTAAAGGGAGTAAAGACATGCTTTAAAATGGAGGCCAATAGATCTAGAAAATCCTGATATGGCTGTCAACCTCATTATGCCTTTCTAATTCAGAGGATCAGTGTATCTATTCCCCCACTGCTTCCTACCATTGCTCATCAAGTTTAGTGAAACAGATAAAGATAAAACTCCCTTTTCAGGAACACCATTTCTTAAATCCTTTTATGTCAGGGATATCAGTATGAGCTGCATAGGCACAGTCTTATCAGGAATCCACAGCAAACTGCAGGGCGACATTGACAGTCATTTGTTTTGTGTTAAGCCTATGATGGTTGATATCTTTGAACCGCAAACACAGCTGCTAAGCAACTTCCCTTTCACTATATTGCCCATATGGACTCTGCCCCTTTGAGCTTTTTTCATGTGAATGAGATGTGCTTATCATAATTAATATTATTGACCATTTCCTGATTCAAATAATTCAGTTGCCCATTAATTTCATTTTTAGCCACAACAATCTACAAAAGATGCTTCACAGATCTCTTGTGCATCTTTATCACTTTTTTTATTGGCAGATCTTAGGCATATTATTTCAAACATTTCATAGTGGTTTAGAATGTTAAGCAGAAGTTACTGTAAGATAAATGGGAACTGAATAACAACATCAGAGTTGTCTTCATTTCATTTGCATACCATTTGCATTGGAACTATTGTTCTCTGGCTTGTCGTGTGATTTATACTGTTGCTGCTGCTCAACAATTTTCTTCAATAATTTCAATGGCCATAACTTATGTCAGAATTGTACAACAAATTTTGCACCTATAGTCATACTTGGTGCTATGAACCAAATGCAGGCAGAGCCTGAACTAGGCCAAAAAAGTAGGTGAAGTCAGGCACAAAAGTTAAATTTGATTCAATTTAAATTTAATATAGGTCACATTAATATAATCCAATGCAATTGATGATGTGTATTTAATGATCCTTTCTACTATACTAAAAATTATACTTTGGTGGCAACTTTGAAAGAGGCTGGGACTTACATGCCATTATGACTATGGTCAAGATAGCTGGCACAACAAATCATGACTTTATGCAGATTATAATACCAAAATAGAAAATTACCCATAGTAGTTGGCATACTGAAGGTTGTATCTTGCAGGTTCTAAATCCTCAGGCAGATTTTTTATATTTTGCTTTAACCACAATTTGATGAATAAACACGTTGTTAAATTTAGAACATAAAATATAGGTCAATTGATCTAGAAAATTAAACAAAGCAATTGGGAATTTATATCAAATTCCAGAAAGGGCTGAAGAAGACACTACTGGTGACATTCAGTCTCTCCCTCTTGTTTTAACAGCAAGGCAGCAATAATGCTTATTTGGAAATCTTTTTAAAATTTCTTACAGGGCTAAAATATTAGATTCCGGGGGGGGGGGAGAGAGAATTATAAAAAATTAGATGATGGTAGTCAAGTAATTATGACTGAAATTGATTGGAAAGGTGGGGCAATTGGCTAATGGCACATAAAAGGCATTACTATTTTGCCACCATTTCCACTCCCCAGTTCCTAAGCACTCCTGGCCTGTGGTTAACTTCACTGATACCCACGGTCAAAATGTTGACACCACCACAAGGATTTCTACACCTTGCATCCAATTATCACCACAAATGACAGAAATGCAAAATGTGGCATTCAGTCAACAATTACAAAATTGTTACAGACAGACAGACAGACAGACAGAAGCAATAGCTGTAAGCTGAGGGTACCGTACTTTCCGGCGTATAAGATGACTTTCGAAAGCATTGAAATCAGTGCCGAAGTCAGGGGTCGTCTTATACGCCAAGTCGTCTTATACGCCGGAAAATACGGTAATTGTGAATCTGTCAAGGCATTGCTCTTTGCTGTTTTGTTTTGTTTTAAAAATGGCACCTTGACAAGGTATTTTTGCAACTAATTTTCAGTTAGGAAGGGCAAGAAGCTATTTTGACAGAGTAGCAAAAAGAAAATCACAATGAGATTTCAAATACATTGTAGTCCAGCCAGAAATAAATTGGCTTAGTTCTTGACCTCTGACAGCCTTGTAGTTTCATTAGAGGTCTCATGCTGAATTTCAAGCTGGTTCAAAAGCTTTGTTTGGAGGTACCTATACATCAAAAAGTGTATACTGCACTGAACCTGCTTGTGAAGCTAAATGAGACACATTTTATTAATTACAGACTTTTTAATATGACAGATTCTATGACTATGCTCCATTAGTATGTTTGTATAAAAATGCAAATCACAGTTGAAAACATATATGTCAAATCTACCCTGTTAAAGCTTTGATAAAAAATAAAAATACCGTATTTTCCAGCATATAAGACAACTCGGCGTATAAGACGACCCCCACTTCGGAGACAATTTGCATGCTTTAGAAAGTCGTCTTATACGCCGGAAAATATGGTAATTAATTGGGGAGGGGGATGTTTAGGGAAAGCAATGATGAACTACTCTGTGAAAAAAATCTCACCAGAACACTTTATGGCAATAACTCAACATGACTCAGATATGGTCTCAGATGTGGACCCTCCAGGCTGGATGGTAGCCTGCAATTTTGTCAAACCTTTTTTGGGAGTTTACTTGGCATGTATAGGATTGGTTTTAACTATTAAAATTATAACAATTTAACTATTAAAAATGCTACTTTCTCTGCTACAGCTTTTCTATGTAGAAGCAAATGAGTCAAATATTACTGGGTAGGAAACCAATCATCACCCTGTGGCTACTGAATACAACCTTTCAGTATTCCCTGGCTAAGTCAACACCACAAGATCTTCAGCAATGTGGCCTGATGAGACTTGAAAGGAAATTGAAAGGATAGGAACCAGAGTACACTAATCTATCTGATGATGCAAAGCGGATAGAAACTATTGGCCATAGGTTGCCTCTCAGATAGGAGGCCTTATGCCATGTATAGGGGAACAAGCATTTTGAATTACTTGGAGTGGCAACCATATATATAGGTCTTCCTGGCCTAGCTGCCACCTATTCTTTGAGAGTCTAGAAAAACTTCCAGATTACACATCAGTCCCAAAGAAATAAATGCTATCTCAGTGATGGCAAACCTTTTAGAGACTGAGTGCCCCCAAACCACCCTTCACCCCTGTCCCCATTCGCCGTGCCCAGTGGGCCACCCACACCTCCACGGCCCACCACAGATCACCCAGGTAGCCCAGCAGTGCCATGGCGGCCACGCCTTCCGCCTGTGCCCTTCAGCATCATCTGTGCACGACAGGGCGTAAGGACGGAGTCTTGTCCCTGCTGCCCTTGGCTGCGCTGCTTCATATGGGCCATGCCCGGGGGCGACTCTCCTTTGGGGGGCTGCTGGTGAGGAGGGGGCCGTGGGAGGAGGCGGGATTGGGGCAACAGTGCAGGTATCAGGTCGTCCTGGGTTGGTGCTTCACAAAAATAGCCGACAACCTTCTGGCTCCTCCTCACTTGTCTGGTGTCGACCTGGCAAGGTGCACGGTAATGACATCATCAGGAGCGTCGGCCACCATAGCACGCCCGCTGAGGCCAGCGATGCCCGCCGAGGCCAGCGACGCCCGCCGATCCCAGATGCCGAGGGAAACACACCATCATAGCGTTGGAGCCGGGTGAGCGTTTCCCTAAGTCCCTGTACAAATAGGCCTCGCAGGGCTCGAGAGCGGGTGCCCACAGAGAGGGCTCTGAGTGCCGCCGCTGGCACGTGTGCCATAGATTCGCCACCACTGTGCTATCTCATTCAGAACCAAAGATGCACTCTCTCTGAGATTGGGAGGCCCAAACACTTCTGTTCATCCCCATCCTGATCTTCAAGCCACCAAACACTGGAACAAGGCTTTCATAGTTTCATTGGACAGTTCTGGGTCAAAATAGGCAATTGAATATCAGTAGCATGCCAACAATACCTGAGTTTGAACTGATGAAATTCCTCATTCAATGGCTCCATGTAGATGTTAAAGAGAACCAGTAAGACCATCAAGCACTGATTTCCCCCCCCCGCACCCCTCCCTCCAGGACTCAACTTTGTAAACAAGTTTCTCTTACTGAAATTATCTCCAGTTGTTTAGTTTGGTCTTTCTACATTTAATTCTAGTTCCATTTTTTTCCACTATGCTCCTGAATTTTTATTACTAAAGATTAAAGACATTTGCAATTTCAGCCATCAGGATAGAGCCACCAGCATAGAACAGGCTACTGATGTTTCTTTCTTTAGTTTTAAAGGCGTGCTACATGATGGGAAGATGGGATAATTGACTGAATTCTAAGAACAGAGGAAAGTGCCTTCTGTGCCCCAGTTGACTTAGTGTGCTCTGTTCTGGTTAACAGGAAGGTAGACAGGACCTGCCTTTCTCACCGCTATCTAGAAAGATAGCTAAGCATAATATTCCTAATGTGTTAATGTCCTGCTGGTATTTTCTTGGAAATGGAAGGCTGCATTAAATGGGTTTAATCCAGTAAGAGATTTTTTTTAAAAAAAATGTCTAAGGCAGGATAGCAGTCTTTCCTCAGATCTTATCAGGAAAAAATAAAGTAATGAGAAGAGTTCATGGCTTGATGGAGCCTCTTTTTACTATATTATTATAGATTTTTAAGATGAGAGTAGGTGACTGCTTTGAAGGATGCCATAGCAGCATAGTTTTGGAACGGTCAAAGATTAAAGAGTTATTGAGGTCTTTACTCACTTGATGGTTTTAATGCATTAGAATTTTATTCAGTGAAACTAAAAATCCGGGTTCCCCATGTCTCTAATAGATCCTGGGTGGAGAAAAAAACAAAATCTCTGAATCCGATTTTACTTCAAAGCACTTTGAATCTAGTTAGTAAAAAGGAGTGGGCGGGCGAGAAAGGCCAGGGTAGCGCGGGAAGGGCGGGAGCGGCTCGCCTCCTAGCCGGCAGCACCGCGTGGACTTCGGGAGGGAGCGGCTACCCGAGTCCCTCCTGGCGAGCGCTACAGCGGGCACCGAGAGAGAGGGGTGGAGCCGGCCGGATTACACATTAAGGGTTGGCTGGATCCCAGCTCGCCGGGGAGGAGGCGTGGAGTTGGCTTTTCGCCGGCTGCCGCGACCAGGCACCTGGGAGCCCCGGCAGCCGGGCACAAGCGAGCTTTTGGGGGTGGAGGCGACAGGCCAGGCGAGCGATCCAAAGGGCACCCCAGGAGGGGCGGGGATGGACGGGCGTGGGGCGTGACAGCAAATACGGTGGCGAGGAGGCGCCCCGGCCGCGGAGGTGGCCAAACGGGCCTTGCAACTGCCTCGTGGGACAAAAGTGAGCAGGCGGAGACTCGGCGATCATGGAAGGCAGCTGCCACCCCCAGCAGCAGGAAGCGGTGGAAGCGTGGCTGGACGATCACGGAGACTTTACCCGCTCTTACTTTGTCCGAAAAGCCACCAGGTAAGTTCAAGAGCGAAAGACACGCCGCACCTTCTGGGCGGGCGGGGGCGGCTGGGAGATGGAGGGGGTGGAGAACAATTTATTTTCCCTCCCCTTACTTGGAAAAGGAGAAGCAGCAGCGAGGGTTTTCCACAAAGCTGAAAGCAGCAAACCAACCGGCGCTCTACGCGGAGGCTCGGAGTTCCGCGTGCAAATAGTTCTCGGGGGTTTCGCAGCGCGTAACCCAAGGCTGGCCGCTTGGCACGCTTTTTACCCTGTGCCCAACTCGGTTTGAGATCTTTGACTGGGAGAAGGGCGCGTGACCTTTCCCCTTCAGCGCCTGGTTAGGGACTTCGCAACAGCGTAAAAAAAAATGGGCAGGCTATACCCACGCGCAGAAAACTGATAAGCTCGGCACTGATGTGTCAACGCTCGAGCAGGCTCAGTATAACTGGGACCGTCTTCATAAAAATCTCCGCAGAACCTGGAAAGCTCCCTTTGCCCAAGTCGAGATTCTCCAGATGTGTTGGACGGCAGCTGGTACCCGAGGCCTGCTGGCTGGGGATAAGAGGGTTGTATCCGGAGATGCGCTGAAACCCGACTCCAAGTCCTCTGTAACTGTATTTCTAGATTCGAAAATTCGAATTTTTTTAAACATTACAACCACTCGAGTTTTCGTTTAGCTTCTAAACCAAGAAAAGATTGAAGGCAAATCTATGTGTCCCAGGATGATGATGCGAAATCGAATTTGGCTTGGGCCAGGTTATCTCTGGTCCCGGTGACCGACCCAAATTCGATTTCGCAAGAAGAGCTTGTTTCGAACCCCGATTTAATTAGTTGGCTTGTGATTCAATTCATTATTAGTTGCCACGTACTATAACAGAAAAATCCTATTTTACTTTAGGCTATCCCAGTTTCGTCGAATAGCTAATGCAGGATTATCACGCTTCTATCCTCTTAATGAGTAAATGGCAAGAAAAATAAGAACCAAAAAGGAAAGGGGGGAAAAAACAAGGAGTTAGAGAAAGAAAAACTTTTGTTAGTATAGGAAGATTTCTGCTTCGCCACCCGCCGACTAGCATTTTGATGGATAGAATAATCGACCTTGAAGGTAACTATCCTCTCCCTACAGCAAAGGAGAGCGACTACAGCTTTTCAGTACTGGGGGCACCGGTCTTCCTCAGAAAGAAGGCAAAGCCCCGGAGAGCCAACGCATTAAAGCTGCTAGTCAAGATAGAGCTTCCATGTGCTAAGGCAGTGGACCAGTGAAAGCCAAATGCTGAGACCTTTGCCTTTTCCTCGAAAGCATCACAGTAGGCTGGGTGCGTGGAAGCGGATCCGCCTATTTTTGAAGAAGAAGAAGAAAGGGCAGCACCGCAACTGCTGATAGCAATAACTGTGAGGATGTTTGTGAAAATTTAGGAGCCGGAGCAATAAGAAAGATGCTGTGGCTAAGAAGCTGCGGTGCGACAGCAGGGCTGAGGGTGAGGAGGGGTGGCGATCTTCATTTCCTTGGCGTACTTTTGGGAGCTCAGCTCCGGGTTGGGGGTGGGGGGGGGTAGGGTGAGTGGGCTGATTCCGAAAGTAGCTGTTTGCGAAAGAGGCACTGCCTCCCTCCGCCGCCAGGAGGCAGCGCTGCACCGCAGCGGCTCCAAGTAGGCCAGGGCAAGAAGTTATCAGCCGAGGGTGGGGTTTGGGGGACGGGGAAGAGGGCTCGGGTAGAGTTTCGGAGAGACCCAAAGCGGAGATCAAAGAGCTCGCCTGGATTTCTTTATCTCTAGGTGGACATGCTGCCTTTTGGAGACAAAACGAGGTACTTTCGAGCTGAGGATTTTGCTCGCGCGACTTCAACTATTTTTAGGAAGGGAGTCAGGTTTCAGATCAGAATAGTTTTCGTTAGAAAGAAAGCGGGTTAAGGCGGCGCAAAGAGAGCAACGGTCCTGGGTGGCTTGGCGGGGAGAGGTCAGCGCGGCAAACCAAAATAAAGTCCCCCGGCCGTAGCGAAGCCCATTTTCTGATCGCCTCCGGACTTGTCTCCAGGCTCCCCCTCTCTCCAGCGGTTGCCACCATCTGCTCCTGCCCCCTTGGCTTTCCCGACCACTTAATGGAGACGGATGGGGTTTGAATGAGTTTGACGCCAATGTGCCTCTCCATCTGAGATGGTGTGGTAAGACGAGAGGTTCTCATTAATTATTGACTCGCAAGTTGCACGGGTCACTTGCCTTCCCGAAGCCCATCTGCGGCCAACGAAGTCTTTACCCTTTTCCCATGCTTTGAAAAGGAAAACAAAACCGAAGCAGATTGTATGCCCTCTTCTCTCTCTAAGAGGGATATAAAACAAAAACCCAGAATGGAACAAAACCTGTCATAGGTATCACACTTATCCTACAGCACTTTATTTATTTAGGAACCTGTCCTCTTGTATATAATTTGAGGTTTCTCCCAGCCCAGAGCATGTAAAATATATTGAAGGGAAATATAACAGATACAGTGGGAGCTACTGTCCCATAGCATTTGGTATTGGTATTGGTAATTAAACTGAGCAAGAGGAAAAGGATAAAAATACTTGAAACCAGCCTTGCAAAATGCTGGTGTTTTATGGTAAGAATGTCATATATATGCCTTTAAAAATACATTAATCAAAACTGAGTAGCGTGCCATCTAAAAATTAATAATTTGTGACAAGCTAGAATGTAGACATGCATTTCTTTGTCATTGCTGCATGTTCCAGAGCCTTGGTTTCACGCACAATAGTACATATTACAAATTATAACATTTGCAAGCTATAACCACAAACATGAAAAGGGATTTTGTTTGGATGTGATGTCAGTTAAATATAAAGTGCACCCTATTGTAAGTATATATGCTGTCTATACATATCTTTTGATGCCTACAGTGTTGCTATATCCCGAAGAATATTATGTAGTTTATATGGCCATGGCTATTATTAGTATATGCATAATAGCTAGGGTAGCAAAGTTTGATTGGTATATTAATTGATGAAATGTTAGATCATTAGTGAGGAATATTTTTTAATCCCTGAATTTCATGGATACACTTGTCATATTTAATTAGGTTATTGCAGCTGTATGGAATTAATATTAAATACTATAGATATTTTTTCTTCTAAAAGTAGGCACATTTTCACAGTTCTTCCAGTGTATGCAATAATGGCAATAAGGTAATGTAATAAATTCATCTAATCTATGGAGTGCCTAAAAGATAACTTGAACTGAAAAAATGTTTATTATTAGCTGTAATTATACCACTTTGGTGTACCTTATACTGTTATACAACAGAATCAAGTGTCGAATTTTGTATTTGTGCTAGTATTTTTTAACATGTACAAGCAGCAATGTATATAAGTCATTCTTTTAAAAATGTATTTATTGGTGACAATCAGAGAAGTTCCATTTATACCAGTTTTGAGAAATATCAGTGTTTCAAATAAATAACTTCACATATCAGTTATATGCATTACTCCTTGAACACAAATCCTTTAATATCATTTACTGTCATGTGAAAGTGTGTGGATAACAATCTTATGTTTATAATTTTATTGTGTTCCATACCAGTTTCCAGTATAAGAATCTAAAAGCAGTCTGAGCAAATAGATACACCTATGTAACTTGGAATTAGGTTGATTTCTTTTTAAAGTTAGGATCATAAATATATAATTTTAAGGCCATAAATCATTATATGTTTTTAAGAAAGATTTGTAATGGGGTGGAGGTTACACAAAACACAATGCCATGTATGCGATAGGCCTCAGTTTTTACTCTCTGGACTGTTTGAAACTAGCCTGAAACTGTACTTTGTGCATTCAGCAAGGTCTTGTTTGTTTGTTTTTAAGAGGAGAGTAAGTTTGATGGAAATCAAAACTTTAAATCTCATTTTGCAAATTTATACCTGTTGAAACAGAAAAATATCATTGATCTGCCTAAGAGTTCAAAGGAATGCTAAATTTCATTTTGTATCTGAAATAAAAAGAAGAGGGAAAGACTGCAGTTCAGTGCTGCTTTATTCTGTTACAGTTTTAAGATTTTGTTTTTGGCTGTTATGATAATCTTTATGGTCATACTTAGTTTTCACAAAGCTTAATTTTTATAAGAGAGAGTTGGGATTGCATTGATATCGGAGTTGTACTAAAGTTCAGATTATATAAATATACTGTACATGGTACTTTTCAGAGGGTCACATTCAAAAGAGATTGTGTATGTGCAGTACTGTAAATATAAAAAGCTGTGATCAGATGATTATTGGGATTTAGGCTCTCAAAATAAATTCATGAATGACAATATTCAGCATTAATGTACTTAAAAACTTATGCCCCACTTTTTCAAAAGTATTCAGAATGCTTTGATAAAAGTTTGTATCCTGAAATCTTTAAAGGGAAATATTCCTAAAATACCACTTTTCTTTTGTAAAACTTTGAAAGAAATAATATCTGATTCAGAATTCATTCGCTTTTTAATAATAAAATGAGTAATTTCTTATCTTAGTACTGGAGAATTAAAGATTAAGAACATTTTAGTACTGAAGATGTCAAGTTAGAATCTTTAGTGATAATAAGTAATTATGCAACATCCTAATTTTACCATTTTCTTAACAATATGCTAGTACAAAGAGATTTTAAAATACAGCATATGTATGCAATAAGCTTTGGAATTCTGAGAGTATCAAGTAGTTGGTTAAGATACCAGTGATAGTGATGCTATTTTAAGGGGTTATTTAAAGTTTAAGTGTTTTGTAACTTAAATGTTATAATGTTTTCAAGGGGTGAGTTGCAGTGTTAGTATTAGGAGAAAGACACATTTGCAGAATGAAAGATTTGATTACAAACTATGTGTTGCTTTGTGAAGTTGTATGATGTTTAATATACATGTACATAATTTTACATTCAGCGGAAATAATCTTCACGATGGAACTTTTCCAGCCAAATGTAGCATCTGTGCAGCTCATCATTCATGACTTCTGGCTAATATGCAAAAGACCTAACATGTGTATATGCAAAAGATCTC